AAATAATCAGTGACACGCTTTGATCATGTTCCGGACTTATGCGACCCAAGTGGTTAGAACAAGCATCTGTTCGCTGGTCATCTTTTCCGAATGCTCTGCACTGGATCCGGATATTTTTGTGAGTGCGTCAAAACTTGCACACCATGAATTAAGTCGAGAAGGTCGTGCTAAGTCAACTCATCCTTGCTATGCTTCCCACTAACACCCCACAAATGAACGGGTCCTCCAACACCACCTTAGATGACGGGATTGTGAACTGCACCATGGACGATTTGCTTTTAATCCTCCAAGTCTCTCATCGCAGTGTGGCAAGGCAAATTTTTACTTGTCAGCTCAAATAATCCGGCTCCACATGACAACATGCCGCATGCATTCCCTTATCCGCCACCTCAATAGCGCTTTCTTGTGGTAAGGAGCAAATAGGCACGAATGATGCATAGATTGTATACCCATTTCGTTCAAATGGCATCACAATGTGTGTCATATGGTTCTGAAAGCCGACCAAGTTTTCGTAGACTGTAGGCTGTAAACAAGTGGATCTGCCTCCCATGTCCCAATGAGCCTATATGTGCAGGTTGCTCTTGTGGATGCCCGCCCCCCAGAAGGCCGTTATTAATCCCCAACTATGTGGCAGCGCCTTATCCATAGCCGAACCGGATCTTTCTACCACTGACCTTGGTTTTTACCAGAACCAGCACGCCATATACTGTTGACCTGCCGGAACAGCTCTTTTGCGTAGACAGGTTCGGTGGTTTACTACGGCGAGAGGACATGGGAACGCCATGGACGTTTAAACTGGGTGGCTTAACGCCGCCGCTGCCGCATGTGTTGGAGGGAGGATTCAACTGCCACGTCAGGCCGCACCGCACACGATTGACAAGGCAGATCGCGGATACGTTGGATGAGTCATGGCGGAGAGGGGGTGGGCTTGTGCGACAGTCTATCGTTTGTCTTAGTTACCGCCATGCACTTCCGTTCTGCACAGTGCTGAGCCCATGTGGGTGTGATATTTTTTTGGTTCTTGTGTAGGCCAACCGCAGGAATGTGAGAAAGGGCATTTGCATGAACAAGAGACTCTGCATTTGTTGCATAATCTTCTTTCAATATTCCACCGAAGACTCCCCCTCCCCCTTTCCACGAATGTCAGCCCAACAAACCGGGAAGCAGTAAGAAAGCTTCTCCTTTTCGTCATTCATATTCCCAATTATTGGCACATTTTTCAAATGGAACTGTACCCTCGGATGTTTCATTTACAATTTATTAAGTTGCTCAACACGTATGCCATTTCCAACTATACTACTTTCTGTTAAGAATTATTTCCAAGCAAAACACTAATACCTTGAAAGCAGATTTAACTTCATTTTAATGAGGAACATTGCAGGTTAAACGCTGCACCGGGTTTATGAGTTGTTCAGGATGATTCGTGACTTTTGGGATGCTCGATAAATTTGGGCGGATGCTATACTTTGCTTTTTCCATTGTTTTAAAAAAGCACACAACAAATGTCGGCCCCCGGCCTGCTGCGTAACCAACACTAACATTCGAGACCCCTCCTTCGGAGGTTAGTCATAACAAGTTGTCAAAAAAGATACATAGTGACTACAAAGGTCTCGACTGGGTTGCCAGGAGACGGCGGGACAACCACAAGGGTAAATTTCCAAAGTAAGTGGCCTTGCACACGACGTTCTTCTATTCCGGTCAATCTGATGAAACGACTTTTGCTAAGTCGAAGGTGATTACTCTCATCCGATGTTTTGGGAATTGGCTATACTCGGATGAAGGTCTCGGCCGCACCACCCATGTTTAAACTCAATCGGTTCGTTTGCTTCATCCGGAGCCACCGTGCTCCCATTGGTTTCCCAACCAGCCTATATCTCGTACAATTTTTGAGACAAACGGGTGTCGGGAACGCCCATGCATGGCAATTGATAGTAAAACACGGCGACAACAGCAGAGGCTTACAAGTAGACCAAGTAAAGTGGTAAGCTATCACGGCGTTGGTTACAGGGAAAACTTCAAGAGAAACATCAATGAATGGGGTAAAGCGAAGGATTTTCGATTATGCTGTGGGAAGGTGTGGCCCTCCTACGATGACTGGTGGGGAAATCAGTTACCCGGTGGATAGTTACAAACGCCTTCGTGTTGGCCGACACCAAGGGAGGCCACATACGAGTCTAACCAGATAAACAGCCAGAGGAAATGCAAATTTCGTCGTTTAACGGATTCAACAGGAATGGCAGAAAAACACACGCACAGACAGCCGTAACAGAAAAAGTGCATGCTCTGTGTGGAAGTGCGCAAGGTTGCACTTATGTGAATGCATTATGCTGATGTTGCTAGGAATGGATCAAAGGTTACATAGCTTTAACAGACCACAGTGGCTCATAAAAATGAGCCCCTGTTCTCCAGCGACAACAACAACAGCTAGAATGAACGGCTCAGATCTCTTAACCGCGTACTCATAGCGGTCGCCAGTTAA